GGGGGGGGTGAACATGGAGTTAGAGTTCAGGTTTTTGGGCTTAAGCTGGGGGAGTGAATATGGGAACTACTATAGGGATATAGATTGGGATTATACAAGAACTATTATAAGGGGTTATTCTGATGGCTGGTCATATCAGCTTTCCATGCTTTCCCCAAGAGGGTACAGTAGTCAAGGTGACCGTGGATGATGAGCCAGAGGCAGGGATTGTGATGCGTGGCTCCATATGCACTATAGTCTAAACTCNNTCCTTAAAGGGGTTTACATAGGGGACTACTATAAGGGTTATTAAGGGGGATACTAGGATTTTAGACTATAAACCCTATAATCCCCCTATACATAATCCCCTATATAATCCCAGTTTCCATTTCATTTCCATTTTCTTTTCCATTTGATTCTCCATTATAGGGGGGATTAAGGGGGATACTAGGATTTTAGACTATGGCTCACATCCTCCTGAAGCATTCGCTTTCAAAGTGCAGGTCTTCCTCGAGATGATCAAGTTTGTTTATTTGAACACCTGCCATGTGGATCAGGCCAACGTGAAGGCCTCTCCGCGCCCAAAGTCGGCCCTAAACTCTCCATAGGAGTTTCCGTTTTCCTTTACATCATCTCTATATAGCCCTTATTCCAAGAAGTTCGGTGCGATGGAGGATGACAGAACCAGTGGAGAGGCACTTGCTTGACAGGCATTGCTGCACATTGCGGACAAGTACTGCATCGAAGATATCGTGAAGCACTGTCTGCAGTGGATGCAAGATCAATTCACAGTGCTGTGCTCAGTGTGATGGGGCGTCCACTTACCTGAATTAGGGATAATATCCCTGAATAACCTCTATAATATTCCAATTCCAATATATACCCTAATGAATATACTATTGTCGCTTCCATTGTCTTTCCATTCTCGCTGCTCAGACGTACGGTGACATTTTTTAAATAAGTGGAGGGCGGCCAACCCCAACGTGCCGCGGAGGTTTTATAAAAGATCTATTTAAATCCGGATGTTTTCCTGTTTAGATTCAATTCCGGATGTTTACGTGTCCGGATGTTTAAAAAGTGACGCCGTAATTATTTGGGGACAAAAGAAAGCAAACAAAGCTTTAAACCCTATACCCCTAAACCCCTAAAACCCTAAACCCATCTAAACCCCTACACCCCTAATCCCTAAACCCCTCAGAGCAAGCGCCTGCAGGCTGGCCTTTTCTACCATATGCTGACCGTTCAGATGTCGAACGAACACTTTGGGAGGCTGTTGTCTCAAACTCAGACTTAGGGGTCCCTTTTCAAAGGGGTTACTATAGAGGATATATACAAATTATATAGGGATTGATAGGGTTTAGGGTTTACAGGTTTCCCAAATTAGGAGTACCATTTTGGGGTCTCTATAATGAGGACTATAGCATCGTTGGGTCCATATTGGGGTCCCCCTATTTGAACTTCATGCTCAAAGGCGTTGGCT